AACCACACCCACACGACCCCCAACACCACCCCACCACACCACAACCACCCAACCACACATCTACTTATAACCCACAACCACTACACAAGTCACAACCCCACAACCACCACACCTCAAACGCGCAGCCACATCTCCACACACATCCCACAACCATCACACAACTACCCAATCCTCAGCACAACCACCACAACTAACAACATAACAACCACAGACCACATCACAACCATCACAACCAACAACACATCCACCCCAACACATAACACATCTACCCAATCCACAACCACTATACCACAACCACCCAACCACACCTCTACACACATTTCCACAACCGCCAACCCAAAGACACAACACCACAACCATCCAACCTACACCACAACTACCACAACCCACAACACAACCACCACAACCCACAACCACTCAAACACACCTCCACACACAACCCACAACCACGACACTACAAGACAACACCATATCCACCCAACGTACAACCACCAAAAAGATATTGCGCCAAATGACCCTTAAGAATAGACGCTTATAAAGCATCCTAGGTCTGTGAACAATGTAAGGCTAGAATACATTATACATAGAGACACACACATCAAGTAATTCGTTAAACCTTAGGATATATGTAGTGTTAGAATAGAAACCAACATACATCTTATTGATATAAAGAAGGATAAATATACCCATTACAAGATTAACTAGAAAAGAAATAAATAAACTCATGATATAATAGAAAAGGGAAAGAAAAAACACAAAATATAATAGAAAAGGAAGGAAATAAAAAAAAAAAAAACTAAGAATAACCAAAAATAACTAACGGCTATTATCAACCATTAAAATATTCTATTTCCCACCTCAAGTTGATGTATAAATGCCAATCATGTTCAACTTGGACTTGAAATCATCGAATAGTGGTCGAGGAAGTTTCTTTGTGAGGTTATTCGCTAGTTTGCTACTGAATGACACAAACGAAGTACAAATTTCCCCTAACACGGGTTTTTCCTTAATGAAGTATCAGTCAATCTCAACGTGCTTGATGCGATCATATTGTACTGGATTGTGAGCAATGTTAATGGCAGTATTATTTTTACAAACAACCATAAGGGAATAGAGACTAGCATGCTTAGTTAACGGAGCATGATGCATATCAGATAGCCTCACATATTTATAATGATATGGAGTGAAATTTTAACACTACAAGCAACCATGGATTGTTTTTTGCTTTTCCACGTGACTAAGTTTTCCTATACAAATGAGCAGTACCTCGAGGTAAATTGCTGATCATGGATGGATCTAGTTTAATCAACATATGTGAAACAACAAATTGCGAGCGCGGTGGCGGGAAAAACACAAACCTGAGTCTGGTGTGTCTTTTAAATAGTGGAGAATCTGATGGACTACTTGAAGATGGTGCTCATAGGGATTATGCATGAATTGACTTATTATCCCAACTAAGTGACATATATCGGGGCATGTATGGGCAAGATATATGAGTTTTCCCACAAGACGCTGGTAGCGAGCCTTGTTTACAGGAACTTTTTTTAGAACATCAAGAAGTTCTACTGGTTTGTACAGAAGAAGGTTGTTTTCTGTCAAAAGGTCAATGACTTATTTCTGCTGGGACAGGCAAATGTTTTGAGGTGACCGAGCAACTTCCATGCCTAAGATGTACCGGAGAGGTATCAAGTCCTTTGTCTCAAAGTAGGCTACAAGAATGTCCTTCAGAGATTTCAATGTTGGTAGATCATTCCTTATAAAGACAATATCATCGATATAAAAGATAAGGATAGCTACTTGGTTGCTCGAGGAATGTCAGAAGAAGAGTATGTGGTCTGATTGAGCCCGAGTGAATTCATGGTCTACCACCACCTTTGTGAACTTGCCGAACCTTGCTCGTGGTGATTGCTTCAGTCCATAGAGAGATTTTCACGATCTACATACTTGCCCCTTGGAGTAGTGTAGTCAAAGCCTGCAGGAAGGGCCATGTAAACCTCCTCTGTGAGATCAACGTTCAAGCTGAAATAAGGTCCAATCCAGATTCACTGTCAGGGTTAAGAGAACCTGAATATTGTTTAATTTATCCTCTGGAGCAAATGTCTCATTGCAGTCTACTCCGTAGGTCTGTGAGTACTCTTTGGCTACCAATCGTGCCTTATTGTGTTCAAAGGATCCATCAAATTTAAACTTGATGCTAAAAATTCACTGACATCTCACTGCTCTTTTTGAGACAAGTTTCAATGAATAGAAGGAAGAGATCCCGAGCAGGGATACTTCTCCGGACTTCGCCAAGATCTTTGTTGAGGTTTTTCAGAAATTGGAACATGCGGTCCTTTTCTGCAATTTTCTGAAAGAGAGATAGGTCTGCTGGAGCTTCCCATGTATAGTTATAATATAAGTTGCATTACATCCATAATGTAACTTGGTCATTGTAGTACTGGGTCACTGTCCTGGATCCTTGTTTTGCTTCATGGATTTTCTTGGACATCCGATAGAATTGGCCGGAGTTCCTTACATCTGATTAGGTATCATGAACTGCTATCCAAAGGACACTAGCGAAATGAAGGAACATTTATGATCGGCTAATCGAAGTCTTGATGAAGTTGATCTATGCCGGGTCAGTCTTTGGAGGCTCACAAACCATGCTTGTGAGATAACCAAACTTTCCACATCTTTTGATGAACAAAGACACTGCTTGGGACCATTGAAGAAAGTTGTTGTCATTCAATTTATGAGTTGTGATAAGAAAATTCATGTTAGCTTCCGGTCCTCCGATTGGTAGTGGAACGGAGGTTGGATTCGATCCTCCGGAGGACTCAAGAACATAGTCTGAAGGTGGCTCAGTGTTGGAGGAATCTGCCATGATTCCAACTGAGCCAAACGAGATTTGGTTGGGATTCCGAAACATAGTACTAGCTGAAGAATATAATGAAGATCTGTCGGAAGCTTGATCACAGAAATCTAGTAAGCTGGATTGCTGGAGTTTAGGGCTTAGTAGTAGATGCTGGGCGCTGAGGCTACGATAGGATACGAACTGAGGCTGACTATTGGGGTCCTTGTAGTCCGAAACATTATGCACTGCGGTGCTGCAGGTGGAAGATGGCTGCTGGGAAAGCTCCTTGGCTTCTCACAGGAATTGGAATCTCACAGGAATAAGGAATTGGAAGCTGGCTGGGATGACATGAATCTCACGGGAACAGGGGCGCTGGAGGTTTTCACGGTAGACAGGAAAAAAAAGGCTCTCACGCTGAAGTTTTCACTCGGGATTTCCCCAGAAAGAAAATCAGGCGGTGGTAGCAACTCTTGGAACCGGTTGAGGAGGCTGGGGGCTGCCGGATCTAGGCTCAAGCTCTGTTACCATGTTAGAATAGAAAACAATATACATCTTATTGATACAAAGAGGGGTAAGTATACCTATTACAGGATCAACTAGAAAGGAAATAAATAAACTCAGGATGTAATTGAAAAGGGAAAGAAATAACACATAATAAAATAGAAAAAAAAGGAAATAATTCAGAATAATCAGAAATAAATAATGGCTATTAGTAGCCATTAAAATATTCTAATATGTAGTGTTAGCATGAATAATGTAATTTAATTTTATAAATATCAGCCTGCTATTTTCTTAACATTTTATTTTTGTCTTTGTAGGTTCACTACAAGTTTAACAACCTTTCACTTCATAGGGAGCCTCTGTTGTTAATTTCCGGTTTCTTCTTTCTTTTTGTTGCATGTATTGCATACATGCACGCAGACCTGTCAATCTCGAAGTTTTCTGCTTCATATATTGCTAAACTTCAGTGGGATGAGGTATGGATAGGCTGCTGGCTTATAGAGCGCTGCCATCATTTTTTTCTTTTATTTCTTTGTTTCAAGTATTAAACTGCACATTATATTTTTATTCTAGGAAAGCAATTAAAATGTGGAAGATTTGCATACATACCATCTAACACCTAAATTTCAAATATTTACATACCTGCCATCTTTCCTATGCATGAAAAGGTGTATTTCACTTTTTAGAAGTGAAAATAATGGTATTTTTAATGTGATATGAAAGATTTGGGTGCTATAAATGTAAAAAATAAAGTTTATATGTTATATATGTGAATACATAGAAATTCAGTGACATGTATGTAAATGTCCCATAAAATATTTTTACTGGGTTTGCTGACTCATAGAGCTATGTTATCATTTAATGTTTTTGATTTTTTGTTGCAAGATTTCTTCCACATTGCGAGTATAAATTTTTTAATTCAAAATTTAATGTTCTTCCTGATGAACCTCTGGTTCTAACTATTTTGTTATTTTTTATTATGCAAGAGTGGATGAGACAAAATAGTTACTTGACATAGCTGGGGAACTAGTATCATTGGAATATGCATATTTAACAGATATTTACCTGTATTGGATGTACTTTTGTCAATATTTTAGAGTTGGTAGCTGAAGGATATTCTCTACTAAACAGCTAAATTTTATTTACCCTTTGTTTAGCTAAAAGTTTTTGCAACACTATGAAGCCAAAGGATTTAATGCCAAGAACATCTCAACTCTTTTAGATCAAGCTTCATAAAAATGTACTTCTAGTTATTTATGGATTAAGTAAACATTATAGTTTTCTCTTGATGGCATTATTTTTGCTGGGAGATTTTTTAATATAATTTCATATTTTACGCCCTCTTCACTTTTATGAGTTTCTCTCTGATAGGTGCAAGCTACTGTCCAGCGAATTCAGAATGTTATCAAAAGGTGCTTATCAGCTCATGAAAAGCTGGAAACTTCATTACAAGATCTCTCTAGGACAGGAGATTTTCAGTCTTGTAAAGCAACTCGGAAATTAGCTGATGGATTATTTAAGGAATTGTCCAAAGAATTGAAACCCTTGTTGTGTTTTTTGCAATCATCTCCTCAGGCGGCTCAAATATTGCCCAAGGTAGGTACAAGCTTAGATTTATATTTTTATTTATTTATTTATTTTTGCTTAACTTAGCTTTGGGCAAGCATTTTTGTGCTATTATATAATATTATGGCTTTGGAATCCGAGTCATGAAATTAAATGTCTTCGATATCAACTTTATTCTAAAAGGGACATTCGAGCACGTCTTTCTTGTTTTTTATATTTAGGTTCATGAATTATGAGGAATGCTTTAATGGTTGAACTGTCTATATTTTCCGTTAAAGCAAATTTCGAGATTTATTTCTTGAAAAAACTTTTTTTGTCAGACGTTCAAAATTGCTGATGTGACTACGTTTAGGACATTTTTTCTATAACCTTTGTTAGGGCAGTCGTTTATAAGAATTCCAACACATTATACTATGATGGTAAGGGCAAATGAACATTTCTTTCCCCTTTCTTAAGAAAGAACTATTAAAAGCCATTAAAATAAGGTAATTTAGCATATTTTTTTATCTGCTATTTTTATGTATTTATTATTTTGTTTTGAATCGATTCTTTTTAATGCAGTTAACTATTTGACGATGTGGTTCTACTTATGGAAATTGTTTTTTCGAATAAAAAACTTTAACCCTGCATAATTTTCGGTCATTTCCTGTTGTTTTAGCTTCTATTCTAGCAGGTTATTTAGAAACCTTAGTCTGAAGAAACCTTGGTCTGATTTCCCGCCTACATTCTTTGCTAAAGTAAATTATTTCTTCATAATTCATTTGCTTTTGGGGGAATTTATCAAGTGTTCTTTGCTTCTAATTTGGTGTGGATTTTTGCGCTGAGTTCTTGACTTTAGAATTTGTATGCGTGACTCACCATTAGCCTCTTGCATCATCAAGTTGGATGCAGGGAAAGAAAGCGGGAAATAATATGGAGGTCCTATAAGTATGCATAGGCAATAGGGTCTTAATGCATGAGGTGATCTAATGCTTTATCCCATGTGATTTCTTTTGTCAAATATAAATCACCAAGAAAATATAAATAACCAAGAAAATTAATTTATATTTTCTCCTTATGTATATCCATATATAATTTTTATTTTTTTGGTTTTCGATCAATTAAAGACTTCCTAATGATTGTTGAGTTGCCTGTGAAATTAAATGTGTGACAGATAAGATGATATCAAGAAGAAATTTTTTACTATATTCACAAACATTTCATGAGCAGTTTATATTGTTATTTCTACTTTTATTTTGGTGGAATTAGTGCTAAATGTTTTGATTATTTTGGGTTTTTCGGTTTTTTATTTTATTTTATTTTAAGAGTAATATTTATTCTAGTTTTTTTTATGTATAAAAGATAATTCTTATCCATATGTATATATATGCCAGGCAAGTTTAATATGAAAGCTATACATTTATTGAGAGGTTTGATGGAGAAGTACAATGAGAGTAAGGAGTATTTACATTTGATTTTTATTGATTTAGAAAAAACTTGCGATAATGTTCCAAAAGAAATTCTTTGGAGACTTCTAGAAAAGAAAGATGTTGATATGACTTATATTCAAGTCACTAAATATTTGTATACTAGAATTGTTACTTGTGTTCTAACAAAAGGTTGATTGACCAAGTATTTTCCTAATTCATTTGGATTACATCAATTATCGACTTTAAACCCATATCTTTTTGTTTTAGTTATGGATGCTCTTACTGAACATTTAAAGGAGGATCTACCTTGGTGTACGCTTTTGGCTGATGATTTCCTTCTTGTAGATAAGGCTAGTGAATAGTTCAGAAAAAACTTGAATTATGAAGGTCAATGTTGGAGTCTAAAGACCTTCGTTTTAGTAAATCTAAAACTTAATACAAGAAATGTAATTTTAATAGTTGTAGTAGTAGCTCTAGTGGTAGTGTTGTAACTATGGGTGATCAAATCATTAAATTGTTTAATCGCTTTGGATATCTCAGGTCAATTGTTCATAGTGATGGTGATATAAATGAGGCTGTTATTAATATAATTCAAGTTGGTTGGTTAAAGTGGATGAATGCATCGAGCCTATTGTGTGATAGAAAAGTACCGCTAGACTTGAGAGAAAATTTTATAAGATGTTGGTTAGACCTGTATTGCTTTAGAACGTAGAATATTGGACTTTGCAGTGCAGCATAAAAGATAAAAGAAAATTAAGTGTTGCAGAGATGAGAAATGTTTAGGTGGATGAGTGGCTTGATACTTACAGATAAAATGCAAAAAGAATCTATTGTTGTAGCTCCAATGATGGACAAGATTAGAGAGAGTCGTCTTAGATGGTTTGGTCACTTTAAACGTCGACCATCTGATTATCCGGTTAGGAGAATCGATGTTTTAAATTCAACTTATGTTAAGAAAGGTAAAGGTAGACCTAAAAGACTTAGGCATATTGTATGAAAAATGATCTTAGTCAATTAGAATTAAATGAAAATATGACACTCAATAGGACACAATAGAGAAAAAAGATTCATGTAATCGACCCCATTTAGTGGGATAAAGGCTTTTGTTGTTATTGTCGAAAAGATAATTCTTAGATTAGCACTCAATATGTGCTGCATAATTCCTGCTTGATCTGTTTGGAGATCCTTTTGGTAGTAACTCAGCATTTTAAAGTTTGGTAATCAACTCACTCGTTTCCCTACCTAGAGATAATTCAAGTTGTCGCTTTCCATGTCTGGACACTTGATTTTCTATAACTGAGGTTAATTTAACGTTTACAATTTTCATTTGAGAATTAATCTCTTATGCAATTTGAGGATATGATAGAAATTTATATTATCTATGCACAAAAGTCTGACACTAGTTGCAATGGCATGAATTGTATATTTAAAGTACGTCTATAGTTTACCATTTAGAAAATTCAATGGGAGGCTTGGTGTCGGCCGAAATTTTGAAAATAATTTAAATTTAATTATATATATATATATATATATATATGTGTATGTAATTTTAATTTTAAAAAGTTGTGTTTTAACTTAAAAAAAAGAGACTAAATAGATCACATATATTTAATAGTTTAAAAAACCGAACACAATATCACAAGTGATACATTATCTTGAAAGGTAAGCATATCACTTGATGACGGACTTGATTATATAAACTAAATAATTTATGACATCCGTTTGGTCTGCGAAATCTTTTATGTATGACTGACAAGTTCCCGTACCTAATATAATGATTAGATAGAGCTTATTTTACCTGGGTTCTTAGTTCCATATAGAGACAAACCCCTATAGTTAATTACATTTTAAATAACCAGAATCACTTAAGAAAACTTTCAATCAAGATCAGTGGTTCTGTCTTCAAGATTTTTAAAGTTTAGGTTTTCAACATTGTACGCAAGAAATTCAAAAGAAAATGACTCAAAATAAGAACAGTTATTTTAGGTGTCCGAAGGAGCGAATAAGTAGGGGATGTCACAGATTTCAAGGCAAGCCCCGACAACATTCTAAAATATCCTATTATTTGACTTTATATTTTGGAAGTGAAGCTATTTAGTGTTTAATTCTGCCAATTTTATTATTTAGAGCTTACACTCGCATTATATCCGATCGTGCAAATAGCCTAGGAAGATATGAGGGTTTTTATTGCTGCCCGGTTAGTAGAATTTTAAGAGTTTCCCTCCTAAACAACCAATAAGTATAAGTAATTCAACGAAGTAAGAAATCTCCTTTGATTAAAAGTTTCCTGTTGATTGCGTCACAAGGTTTTTATTGCTGGATTCTGTTCTTAGTATCTGGAATTACCACCAACTCAACTTTATTAAAGGTAAAAAGATATCTAGTAAGATCGATTAGCATGTTCTCTTGAATTATTTATTGAAATTTATTATAGAATAAAGAAATAAAGAAAATATTAATTTAATTATCAATTAGATTAATTAAACTAATTATAAATTCATTAAATTAGTAAGCAATTAGTCATTAGAACATAGAAATTGAGCTTCATGAATGTAAATCTATTCTCCCTTAAATGTGTTGCCAACATTCAATAACAATAAAAGCTTAACATAAGAAAACCAATTTTGATATTTGATTGGTAAACTTACCTATCAATGACATGTAATATTTGTGCCGTTATGACTAGTACCTGCAAAACTTAGTAAAATATCTGAATGTTATATTAAGAATTTTAAGATATATCCAAAATTTTTGGGGCATTTACATACATACCAGATAATTCTTATGTTAAAAAATGAAATAATAATAATAATAATAAATAAATAAATAAATAAATAAAAAATAAAAACTGTTTCAGAAAGGGGAGCCTCGAGAGGAGTTAGAGGGGCATAAATTCTTCAGTGATCCATCATCAAAGAAAATCCACTTATTTACATTTCACCATTAATGCAAAAAAAACGCAGCCGTTCACCCCACATGGGTAGGCTGACAGTAACGCAAGAAGTTATCTTAGCAAAATTACAATCAAAGAACAGCCATCAGAACCATTCTCCATATGCCTAATGAGTTAGGCTTCTAGTTTTACAGAAAATTAAATTTAAGCACAACACTAAAGTTCTGAAACACATAGAATTAGAGGTTAAGAAATTCATTAATATTCTTTGAGATCCAACAATACGTTTAGTTTTAGGAAGGTTTATATAGACTAACACTCAACTTCTATGTGTTTGTATATCAAGCTCCAAAGTTCAATTGCTACATACAAACCTTACATATGCTGCTCCGCATGAAGAAATGTATTTAACCCCCTTTTTTATAATTTAAATATGTGATATTTTTAATGTGATATGAAAGATTTGGGCGATAGAACTGTAAAAAATCAAAATGTAGGTGTTTGATATGCAAATACATAAAAATGGATATGTATGTAAATGACCCTCATTTCATTGAAAAAAATATTACATTAGGACTCCGCATGCAGAGCTGTTTGCGGAGTCCAATGTAGAGCTGACACATGGAAAGAAGGGACCCACCTGTATAAAAAAAAGAAAAAAAAGCGAAAACGCGCGACCCTACCCGATTGATTTGTTATAGAAATATTCCATCGCATTTGAATATTCT